TAATAGCTTCAGCCCTAATAATTCAAGCATTATTAACTGTCTTCTCCATATTATATTTCTGCTTGACACACTGTCCAGTTAGGTTGTATTACATTAGAAGGAATAAATGCCGTCTGTTCTGAATCCTGACATCACTTATATTTATTACTGAATTCTCAGAACCAACTGAATTAAAGTCTACCATATATCTGAGACATGGACCTGAGATGCTGCCAATTTGCATGCAAAGCTTTTAATATTTTCCTGTACTCTCAGGGAAGTAAAAACTGAGCTGTGTTCCATATCTTTTAAATTCCTCTAGCAGGCTTTTCATCCACAAAACTCTTTACCACATTCCTTTGGCCTTTTACTACTGGATACTAGAAATGATAAAAATACTACAGATTCTTGATCAATGTGCAAAATGTTCCAGGTAAATCTTTAAATAGCAATACAATCTATTATCCTTTTACTGTTATTACAGAAAATTGAGTTGCTTCTATCAATTCAGCCATACCTATCTAAGCACAAAGTAGTGTATTAATCATACCTTTTCAGCTCTTTGACTGTAATTCAAAATACATCTCTGTTTCATAAACAATTATGTGTTCCCACAACCCATTACAGAATTAAACAATGTAAACAAAAGTTTTCATAAAAAAAATCCCACAATGTTTTAGGCATTATTATGCAAATAATTTATTACCTTTTTGTACATGACCCATAGAAATTTCTGTAAAATAATTTTCATATTTCATTGCTCAAATCTGATGTTTACCTTCTCTTTCTCTTTTTCAGGAATCATCTCAAAAGATCTGCAGCCAATGTTAACTATGCATTTAGAATCTACTTTTTTCCTATTTTTCTTACAATCTAGTAACTATTATATTTCAAGGATGTTACAGTTCAGATTTTGCTACCAACAAAATCTTATGGTTAAAAACTGTATTGCTCTAGGTGTGACGTCCCTCTTGTAGACAGTTCTCTGTACCTCTTGGTAAGACCAGGCTGAGTCCGAGATAAAACTTTATGCGCAAACACAACAATTTAACCTTAGATGAAGAGCCCCCTACTCTCAGAAACACCTCATCCTCATCACTTTTTTCATGATGCATAGGAAAGGAATTGTGATTCTTTTGAACTAAATGCAGATTTTCACAAGGCCATTAAAAGCTGCAGCATGAGAAATTTTAAAATCAGATCTGATTCATTTTTGATTCATAATTTAGAACTAATAAAAACTAGTATCCCTAAGGCCAGATTGTACACATTGACTGCATTGTGACTACTCTAATAAGAAGTCTTTACCTACATGAGTGGTATTCAAATCCTGTAGTTAAACGGTGCTACTTAAAAATTTTCCAAAAAACCTATCTAATCTTGTCCACCACCATGACATAAATTTAATAAAACTATCCTAATTTATTTGGTTCTTTCATAGGCTTAATGACCTCTTTGGAATTCATTTCAATAACAGAAGCATTTAAGCTGCACTTTCAACATTATGGAGGCAGACACTCTGAAATAATAGCTATTTAATTTAAAGCAACCTTCACCCAAGCTATAGCCAAATACCCTGTGCATCCTGTGATGGGAAAGTTGCAACTCAACCCATTTATTGTAGAAACATAGGTTTGACCTACTAGTTCTGTATGTCCGCTTCTAACTGTTGGAGGTTGGCTCAGTAGGAAGATTTCACAACCTTAGCTTTGCATCATACAGTAAATGCTCTAGCCCACCATATAATGCTGGATGTAAGAGGAAAAGAGTCCTCAAACCTTGCAACGGATCCTTGTATTTGGAGTCGGAAGAACAGATTGCCATTATTTTATCTTGCATAAGTACAAAAGCTTACAAAGATCTGTAAAAATGATCCATCTCACAGGTCAATAATTATGCATCTTCCCCTACCTTCTCATACCTGCCACCTCCTTTTACTTCTACCAATTTCCACTTCCCTTCTTTAAATCTTTGCCAACTTCATTATACTCCTCATAAAGCAAGGAAAATTTGGCAAACCACTCCAAGGCCCAAACTCCAAAAAGTCATTAAAGAGGTGCAAATGCTGTCTACATAGGCCGTTCCACTTAGCACCAGCACAAAGTGCTCCATCTGAAGCTGAGCTCAGCCTGCTGACCATGATCTGAGAGATCTGCTTGAGTGTGCGCTAACAATGATGGATGGCAACTTCAGTGGGCAGACAAAACTCCAGCGAGCTGCATGGCATGGTGAAGATGCCATAGGTCTCCACATCTCCTCTATATCCTGTTCTGATAACAGTGACAGTACTCATGTTTCTATCCATCCATGATGCTCTTGCAAACCTACCTAATATATACAGAGGGCAGAGGACACACATTTGCTATCCAATTTATACTCCACGTGGCCCATAGTGTACTACCGCTGCCTAGTGAAATCTCATTGGAAAAACACTGATAGGTAATTGAGTTGAGGTACCCCATTCAGTTTCACTTGCCTGTCTGTAAAGTATCTCTGCACGAACCCACGCCACCACCTCTGTATCATGCTCTGTCATTCATTAGTTACTGTACGAGTTTCAGAAGGATAGCTGGTTTTAAAGAACTATCCTTGAGACCTATAAGCTTTTTGGTATTGCAGTTTAGGCTGGAGGATAGTTCATTATTATGTTCACTGTTTCATACCTCATATCCTTCAGATCCTTTATAAAAAAAAAAGAAAACATAAGAGTAATTTCAACATCTGACTTTCTCCTGTTGCTCCATAATTTTTTTCTCAAAGATTACATTTGCCAAAGCCATATTCTGGATGTCCTTAAAAATCTAGTTAGAGGTTAGCCTTTCAGTATTGTTTCGCCATCATCACACACTAGCTACCTTGCTCACTTTTTGGTTAAGAATGCTTTCTGTCTCTGGAGCTATTTATCCTAAACTCGTTACCATGAGATTCTGACTGGAGCCTTCGCACTTCCAAAGCAGCTGCAGAATTTTTAATTATAAAAAAAGAATCAAAGACACAAAGATGAGTACCATCCATACATTTTACAAGTCTAATTTTCAAGTGAATATTGTTTCAGTTGTGAAAAAGAAATGCCATGTGTGAAAATGGTATGTATCAACCAGTACTTTAGTTTTTCACCAATGCAATGGAAGCAACTGCCATAAATAATTTTACATCTGAATCCAAAGGGTACTGTCATAAGGAAAATGACAAATATATCTTTCAGTTTCAGCTTCCGTGTGGTTCATTCACCGGTGTATAGAATAACATTTGCAATAATCTGGAGTCTGTTTTTCTGATTTAATTTTTACCTTGTTTTCATCATAATAAAATCATAAGCCTACCTGCAGCTATTCAAAATAACAGTCCAGATGCTGCTATCATCTGCACTAGCATAAACACAATAGCAGTGTGAAACCCATAGATGATTAGTATCAATACTACTATTCTCATTGCACCTCTGCAGGGCTTTTGAAGGTCCTAGATTTCTGTTACTCTAAGTTTTTTTCATAATGAAATGCTGAAAAGTGCTGATCAATGTGAGTGAACAAAACGATCTGATACCTGCATCTTCAAGTATTCGCTTCTTATTTCTAAACAGTGCCTGGGAAGAAGGAAAGCTTTGTAGCAGGGTTCTGTCCCCATTCTGCATATCCCCACGGCAATATACACTGCTTGTCCTCCTTTTTTCCTTAATGAACTTATGACCATGTTTTATTCTCTCTGGCATCAAAATCCAGCTCAGAAAGAGGAGCAAAGGCAAACACCCCAGAAGATGGCAGATTTGAGCTTAGCCAACAGCCTTTAGAAAAGCCTTCTGAGTCATTCTTCTGCTTCAGCCTGTATCTTCCGACTACATTGCAACCTCTGTATTTAAGGACATATGAATTTGCCACCGCCAGCAAAATGTAATGGAAGTCTTTCTCAATAAAGGTCAATGACCTGAAACCTGTCAGATGTTTGGTTTGTGTTTTTTTTTTTAAAGAAAAAAGGCATTTGGAAAAAATTCTTAAACATTACAAAAATACATTGATCTATATTACTCTTTGGATGCAAAATACTCTTATAAACGAAAATTCTACCAAAACACCTGTTCAAAAGGGGCAACTATTTGACACCATTTATTTTCAGCCATAATCCCACTATACCTGTTTTAACAGAAGGTAGATATTGGAGCTGCATTACTTATGATCAATGGCAAAAATTCAGAAACAAGTATTTAGCTTACTGTTATACACAGTATATATGATGCTCGTTCTGTCCTTCTCACTCACAGGGATGTTTAGACAGGAGTTGATACAAATAAAAGTGTCAGAGTCCAGAGCTTTTTTACTTCTGATTTACTGTAGATATGTGTAAATTTCCCAGACACTATAATACACTGCCTTACTCCCTGCCTAACTTTGATCAAATGGTGCAATACAGAAAAATTAAAACCAGACATTAAGTACAGTTAATAAATATATACAGAATATGCGTGGACTAATGATTGCTGCATTGCATCAACGGTAACAAAAACTCTTACAGTGAAAATTGCACTACATAAACCCACTTAAAGCAATGGAATGCTATGGATACTATATTATTAGATCTATAAGAAAAAAATGTAGAAAACTATGCTCAAACAAAATGCCTTAGGAGATTAGCCACCATCATGTTTCTTTGTGAGTAACTTAAGAAACAGAAGTCAGAACTGCAGATTCATTATCAGCACCAGTCCAGTTACGCATGTCCAAAGCTAATCAAGATGATACAATACCTCAACATTTAATGAAAGACTCTTTTGAGACTTTCAAGCTGCAAACTACATCAGGGTGAAATTTGTTTCTCTGTATTTCATCACACAGCTGCTAAATTTTACCTAAAGAAGAATAAACCCCTCTATTCCATTACCAGGAATGAAAGACCATGGGAATGGTGCGACTAAGTATGTATACTCTACAAGCCAGCAAATAAATATTTCTTTATGACTACCACAAGTTTAGGGATTAATTGCAGTAAACTTAATCTCATATCCAATGAATAAATTCAGAAACACTCACCATGATTCCAGTCAGTAAACAGACTCCTTTCCCACAGTATGTATTAGGTACCATGTCACCATATCCAATGGATAGAAAAGTTATTGAAATCAACCACATTGCTCCAAGGAAATTGCTAGTAACATCCTGCTGATCATGGTACCTGAAAAAAAAAAATAAAAAAAAAAACTTTTATTAAACTTTTGTTAAACTTTTTTAAACTTTTGTGTTGTCAGAAACTGATCATACTCATGTTCTCGCATTCTATGTTTATTTCCTTTTTAAAAGCAGTTATAAGCAATTCAATAAAACTCACACACAATGACATCAGCAGTAAAGAAACAGAAGGTACAACAATAGCATCAGTAGTAGACACACTCAGGATGGTTTACAATTCAGTATTCTGTTATTATTACTTAAATAGCAGAGACGTCTTGTTTTTTAATGGAATCCCTTCATCAGCGTTACAAGGCCTGCTAATCCTCTGCATCAGCATAAGACATGAGTCTACTATACCTGCTGCAGTCTGAGGCAAATACGAAAGTCAGAAAACGATGGGTGGGCAAGCAGACAGCAAAGCACACCTCCATTGTGTGGAGGCTAAATGTAAGTCTGCGATCAGAAATCTAATCATGAACTATCATCTGAATGCTGACTTGGACAACCTAAGATCTTCCCTCTGCTTCAGCATGTTCAAGATAAACAGAAAAGTATGCCACTGCATTTCTTGTCATCAAAAGATAAAATGGAACAGACTATTGCAGTTGGAAAGGACCTACAACAGTCATCTAGTCCAGCTGCCTGACCCCTTCAGGGCTGACCAAAAGCTCAAGCATGATGTTAAGGGCATTGTCCGAATGCCTCTTAAACACTGACAGGCCTGGGGCATCGACCACCTCTCTAGGAAGCCTGCTCCAGTGTTTGACCACCCTCTTGGTAAAGAAACACTTTCTAGTGTCCAGCCTAAACCTCCCCAGGTGCAGCTTTGAACCATTCCCAGATGTCCTGTTACTGGATCCCAGGGAGAAGAGATTAGCACCTCCCTCTCCACGTCCCCTCCTCAGGAAGCTGCAGAGAGCAGTGAGGTCACCCCTCAGCCTCCTTTTCTCCAAACTACACAAATCCACAGTCCTCAGCCGCTTCTCACAGGACATGCCTTCCAGCCCTTCCACCAGCTTGGTTGTCCTCCTCTGGACACATTCTAGCGCCTTCACATCCTTCTTAAATTGTGGGGCCCAGAACTGCACACAACCCTCCAAGTGAGGCCGCAGCAATGCTGAATACAGGGGGGCAATCCCCTCTTTTGACTGGATGGCTGTGCTGTTTTTGGTGTTCCTCAGGACGCAGGTTGCCCTCTTGGCTGCCAGGGCATGCTGCTGGCTCATGGGGAGCCTGCTGCCGACCAGCACCCCCAGATCCCTTTCTGCAGGGCTGCTCTCCAGCCACTCCTCTCCCCAATTATACTTGTGCCTGGCGTTACTCAATCCCAGGTACAGAATCCAGCATTTGTTCTTGTTAAAATATCATGCCAGTTGCCCAATGCTCCAATCTATCTAGATCCCTCTGCAAGGCATCTTGTCCCATGAGAGAGTCAACAGCATCCCAGTTTGGTATCATCAGCAAGCTTGCTAACAGTGCCTTCAACTCCTGCATCCAGATCATTCATAAATATATGGAACAGAACTGGCCCTAGCATTGAACCCTGAGGAACGCTGATGGTGAACGGTTGCCAGCCAGATGTAGCCACATTCACCACAACTCTTTGAGCTCAGCCCTTCAGCCAGTTCACCACATACCTGCTTGTCTCACAGTTGAACAACTTGTCCAGAAGGATGCTGTGAGGGACGGTGTCAAAAGCCTTGCTAAAATCCAGAAAAATTACATCCACTAGGTGGGAGATCTTTGCCTTAATTATAGCAGAACCTCCCTTTTGTGTTAAGTCAGCTACTAAGTTAATTTCCTGATGTGCCATTTGTTGTCTGAGTTTTAATATTCTAGTGGAATATATTTATTTTCAAAGAAAGCAAGTTCCGACAAATAATCTTGTCTTCACAGGACACATGCACCTAAACAACTGGGAAGCCATGAGGACACGTTTTAGGGCTAAAAGCTGTTGTCACCACTCACTCTGTGGGGGAAAAATAGCCTAATGTAGGTGGAAATTTGCTCTCTGGACAGAGTAGCTCTGCAACAGAGACTATCTGTGGCAGCCACTGCAGCCTCAAGGTTGCAATAACCCCTGCAGCTGCTGTGAAACCCCAGTCTAGCTATCTATGCTGTTGGATCCTCAGGGGTATTATTTTAACCAGTTCCTAAATCTGTGTCTCACAGTGGGTCACAGAGGGCCTTTAGGGAATTAGTTCACAAATCCACAGGCAACCTGCTTTCCACAACTGAAATAATGGCTTCAGTTTTCTTCCCTTCTGAACAGCAGTCTCTATAATGCAGAGTGAGCACAAAGACACTCTCAGGAAATTCCCTATTCTCTCACTTGCAAGATATTCACTATCAATATCTGCCTTCTTCAAAGTCCCACCTATGCCCTGATGGTTACAACCACCTAAAAACTCTTTGACTGCCAGAGAATACAGCAATCACTCCAAACAAGTCTGTTCCACATTTCACCTCTCCTCTTCTCTCTCCTGGTGTCAGTGTTGTCTTTTTTCACATCCCTTATACAAACTTTCAAAGGTGTTTTGTTCTGCACCTAGAACAATGAAGTCACAGCCCACATTTGGAGCTCCTAAGGTGACACAAATAATGACAGCCACAACAGCAACGAGAGAAGTAAGAAAAATGACAGCAAACGATTTAACTCATAACCACTGAGCTCCGCACAATAAAAAGAGATCCAACATTGGGGTTTTTGCAGTCTGCACTAAATGTTACATATTTTAATCTCCATTTAACAAACTTTGCAACTAACAGCTGTGAAATATATGGATGCAGGGAGGCAGACATATTCATCTCATCCAGAAGTCAAGAAGAAAGCCTATGTAACACGCAAGCCCCTACAGAGTATCATGTAAGCCATATGACCTGTACACTTTGAATGAGCTTCATGGAAGGGCGCTAAAGCCACAACATGTATTCTAAGGCTATCAACTCAGTTAAACACCAATAAATGCTTACACAAATATTTATAATACATTTCTTTAATGCCCCTCTTTGGGTTTGGAACCTGACAATTTCCATACTTCTGACAGAAAACAGTTTTCCTATGAAGATGAAAATGCAATGCAACGCTTCTAGGTTTTTTTCTACATTTTGTGCAAATAGTTACATCCTTACAAAATTTCAGCCCTGCATGGTGATCGCTACAGAAATTTTGATATGACTGAAAACACAACATTCAAATGCAAGTCAGTAAGTTCCTGAAATAAATACCAGTTTTGCAGAAAGAATGCCAAAACATCTCTCTTAAGCCTTGAACAACACAGGGAAAAGATAATGAGGAGTCTTTATCCATTTATCCTCCTTTACTATCCTCCAGAAAACACAGAAGCCAATCTACATGCAGATCATTTAACAAAGGTGACATAGGGTTAAATTTTAAAAAGCACAACAATAGTTTTCCAAGTATCACTGGAGACATGGATCTTAATTAGTAAGGTCCCCTAGATGAAATATTCATTATAGCCATCTGCATCCATATTTAGAAGCACACTTTGAGGACCTGTTCAAATGTTTTTATCTTGTTAGCTCAGTGCTCTTCAATTTCCTACTCTGAATATTTCACCTGGTTTTGATTTTAAGGTTATAGTTCAGCAACCAAATGGCGCACGCTTAGTTTAAAAGTCATCATCAATACTTAGGACTTCACTGTGACTGAGAAGCAAAGGTTACTTTGTACCCTTTCTAAGGGCTCAACTGCTCAAGCATGGCAAAGCATGAAATTGCAACTCAATTTCATCTTTCAACAAAACCAAAAAACCCTTTTTCTCTCATAGGTTGCATAGGGAAAGTTGAAGGAGTGATTTCTTGAATTAACAATCTGTAAGTAAAATAGACACAGTCTAAAAGGGGGGTATGGAAGGTCTGGTGGTGTCACTGTCCCAATATCTATGATTTCTATGCCAGATTTATAGTAAGGTGGATTGGTTTTGTCTTTGTTTTTTGCGACCTCACTCAGGACTTTTGAATCTCTGTGTTTAGTAATTCTGGTACATGCCTACATCCTTCTGATTTTCATAAGATTACAGTTGTGCTGGCATTCACTTCCAAGAGCTATGCTTTGTCATTAGGCACCACCATCTCTTGGGATTCAAGCCTGAATGAGCAAAGCCAGGGGAGTCTTTGGCTACCCTGCATCCACCATCAGGTAGAAAATTATTACATCTATATCAAAGCAGGAAAAGCAATTTCTTAAAAAAGTAGAAATTGTGACATCTTATTTGTACAGTCATAAGAATTGCTGGAAATAAACATTGGAGGCATTTACATTGCTTTGTTTTGAGAAGGGGGAAAAAAACCTACTCATCTACTTTTTGACTTGCTTTCACAGTTATCGCAGCCCTAAAGACTGAACTTCTCCATTTACGCAGGGAACATTAAAATGAACACAACAGAAGTTAAACTTTCCCATGTTTTTCCATGAGTGCACCTCTGTCATGGTTTACCCCCAGTTGGCAACTAAGCACCACGTAGCTGCTCAGTCCTGACTCCCAGGTGGGATGGGGGAGAGAATCAGACAAGTAAAAGTGACAACAGAGAACACTTGTGGGTTCAGATAAGAACAGTTTAATAATTGAAATATAATAATAATAATAATAACAACAACAACAACAATAATGGTGATGATGATGTAACAAGAAGGAAAACAACAAAAAGAGAGAGAAATAAAATGAGAAAGAAAGACAAGTGATGCAAATGAAAAACAATTGCTCACCAACAACTGATGCCCAGCCTGTTCCCAAGCAGCGGCTGTGCGCCAGCCAATTCCCCCCAGTTTACATGCCAGGCATGATGTCATGTGGTATGGAATACCCTTTTTGTTAGTTTGGGTCAGCTGTCATGGATTTGCCCCCTCCCAGTTTCTTGTGCACCTCCAGCTTTCTTGTTGGCAGGCAGTATGACAAACTCAGAAGTCCTTGACTGTTTAGCAACAACTAAAACTTCAGTGTGTTATCAACGTTATTCTCATCCTAAATCCAAAACACAGCG